CAAACAAACAAACAATTTCAACATAAGTCTAACTAGAATTTACTCGACCCACGGTAGAGGACGCTACAATTATTGTTGTAAGGCCACAGGAAATAATATTTAAGGGTTAAAAACAGTAGATAAACGGCAATGCATAGTGTTACGTTAATAATTCCCGTAGAAATTCTTTCCGAGAAACTTCAGCGATACAAGTCCTTTCTTAATTTAAACTAGTTTATTCTTTCTCGATACAAACTTTGTAATACACAGAACTTCCACAGTCAATACGTTTCTCGTCGCTTTAAACTTAACGACTTTCATAAACACGCGCTATAATCACAGCGATTCACAAGCTCGATAACTTCGCTCTATGCGACTGCAAAACACACAAACAGAATCGACTTATCGTGACTCGATTATCTATCTATCCCCAGCTGGCTTTCTTTGCCAGGTTTATATACTAAAAAGGGGGCATCTTATAGGGACCTGTAACTCGACACAATCAAGTAAGATGCCCCCTTTTTAGTATATAAGCCTGGCAATCCTAATACTTGATTGTGTCGAGTTACAGGTCCCTTAGGATTGCAGTTAATTGAATCGTTCACTGATCTTGCGTCCAATCTCACAAATATATATAAATTGAAACGATGATTACTGACTACACACTAAATAACCGATTCTGAGAGACAAGCGAAAGGATGGAAAATGGGTCGTTAGTTCAAACTACGGGTTGTATGAATAGTTTGGAACCATTGGTGCTTCAACGAATTTTACAGAATGTGTTTCACATGCTGTATTTGTAATTTGAAACAAGTTTGGAGACGGTATTTCATTCTCTTTGAATATTGCGAAGCACATTCGTGTCATTGTCAATGTTCCACAGTGCTAGTATCCTTAACTTTAGCTAGCAACTTTCTGTTAACGATTTTTCTCCCTCTCTAGATAGCGTGCATAAAATTCGGCAGCAACCTTCCACTGAAACCAATCTTCTCTGTCATACAGCAGAATTAACTCGATTTTTGGACAGTCACGTATCTGAAATTAAGAAAGGTACAAATCACCTAGGGTTTCAAACTTTTCGAATATCCTGTATTACAGTATGATTATCAAGCTGTAAAACGAGGACATCCAAGCTTTTTGAGATCTACATTACTGTCGTATAAATCATCCCGAAGAAAAGCATAACGATGATGTGCAAATATTTTTTGTTCTGGAATAACCTTGTAAAATGCAGAATTTATCCATGATTATTCTACTAATATGTCGAGTGAAAGCGAATAAGGCATAGCGCGTGGTGCACTGTCTGTACTTTGTCGTGATCAAATATGAAAATAGAGATTTGAGAAAAACGTAGCTTTTATTGAAGAAATTAGTATCGTCACTACGAGGAGAATTAAGACGAAGGAACTATGAGCAGGGAAAGAAATATAGGGTAGGTTTACTGAATGGCTAAGTCAGAGATATCTACATTCATACGTACGCGTTCCTTTTTTTAAGACAGCTGAACAGATGACAAAACCTTGTCGAAACGTTGTACATTTGCTGTTATATTAAAGTTTTTCTTCATTACCCATTCAAGCCGTCTCCAGCCATTATTAGTCTCAAAGTGGGTTCCTCGTCATAGAACAACAACACTCATATTATTCAACCTACTTACTAAATACTACTGCTATATATATAATACTAGCTGAGTTACCCGGCGTTGCATGGTGAAAATTTAGATTTGAAATGTATAGATCAGTATTTTTCAGCAAATTATTCAGTAAGTAGACAAAAGCTGTGATGCGAGAAATAAAAAAACATTTAATCAAACAAAGCTTTATTTGAAATTAGATCGTGTTTGAGCTTGTCTTGTTCTTTGAGCCTGAAGTCGTACATTATGTTGCTCCACTGTTTCTTGCTCTCTGTAAGTTATTTGTCTTAATTTTTGTGCTTGAAGTCTGATTTGACGTTGTTCAGAAGTTTCTTGTTGTTTATATCCAGCTTGCCTTGATGATTCTGACTGAACTCTGGCTTTGTGCTGTTCAACAGTTTCTTGTTCTCTCTGAGTAGCCTGACTTTCAGCATGAGCTCGAAATCTAACTTTATGTTGTTCCAAAGTATCTTCCTGTATTTGAGCAGCTTGTGTTTGAAGTCTTTGATTGCGTTCTTCTTCTGTTTCAGCTGCTCTTTGTGCTTGCATTCTTTTAGCAGCAGAAGACTTTCCATAGAAAGGGCGTTTCTTGGGTGGCATAATCACCTGTATCACTAAACAATAATTTGCAATTCACAAAGTGAATCACTTATAAAACCACTTAGCACTATTTAAAGAAAACTGTTTTTGGAAATAATGAATTGACAGCAAGGTGATCTGAGTGTCTCCCGCCATAATGATTTCTATGTGCAAAACGTGCCTATGTTTGTATGTTTATTACAAAAAAATGGCGCAATAATCATTAATTGTTAATTTCGTTATTAAATACTACATCAAATACAAAATAAATAGCAGTAAAAAACTGGTTATTATGAAGTTATTTGTAAATTTGTAAGTTCAACCGTTTGGTTTCCTATAGCGAGCAAAATAAGCAAATAAACAAGCTACCTCTTATATATATAGATAGATTAAGAAGAATAAGCACATTGTTTTGACCAGAATGGAATATAGAATCCACTTGTGTATATCAGTGACAAAATAAGCAATGATCAAGTTACAGAAGGTGCAGAATGGATTAATGAGAATAGCAACAGGAGCAGCAAAACCGTCACACTGTGAGGCGCTAGGCTTTTGGCTTGGTCTAGGCAACACTACTGCAAGACAGGTGATTCTAGCCAAACCAGTGCTACTCCGAGCAACGAAAAAACAAATCTTATTCACTATATCACCATTGAAAAAGAGTGCAGATGAAGCAGTGATACAGAGACTGAAATATGTCAAGTTATGGGTCAATAAAGTTAAGAAAGATGTAGAGGAACCAAGTCTACTGGAAAACATCAAGTAGATCCAGACAGAAGGCATTGAATTAAACATAATGAAACTTCTGGTAGTGGAGGTAAAGATCAGGATTGGTCAATACAGAATTAATAAACGATCAGAGACCCACACTGTCTAAAGCAATAGATGGTTTAATGAGAAAAGACGTAACTGCGTGGGTAGGAGTCGTGTGGAGAGATTCTAGTGTTTGAATGATCATTGACCAAAACTGGGCGACCCAGTTCATTCAGAGCAGACTATGAGGGATACGATCATGCATTCATCTAACTGTCCAGTAACAGTGAATATGATGAAGGATCATATTCTTGAGATCTTCCTAAACTAGATCACAAGATTGGAAACAGGTTCTGTCCAAAGAACATGGATAAAACTTTTGAGAGACTTCAATGATCGTCTGATAACGACCTATATTCCAGACCACAGTTGGCATGCTATTCATTGTAAAAATGGAGCAAGCTGATAAGGTACAGTCCTTGGACAACCTGGTAAGATCTTCGAATGATGTTGTAAGTGAAATAGCGTGTATAATGAGGAAAGATGAAAAAAATGGAATATAGATCACATTGTTGGTTTCCTATAGCGAGCAAAATAAGCAAATAAACAAACATCCTTTTATATATATATATATATATATATACATAGATTAAGAAGAATAAGCACATTGTGATAGCACATTCGAATGATGTTGTAAGGGAAATAGCG